ATGGAAGCAAGGTCATAAAGTTTTTATAATAACAAACCAAAAAGAGTCATAAATCAAGGCACTATTCGAGTGCATAAGTAGAAATAGCACAGGTAACTAGAGAAAGAAGAGGAAAGCTCTACAGTCAGTCATAGATGCTATCTGATGACAAGCTTAGCTTTGGGACTAGGGGAAGTTAGTGCTCTGCGAAGTTAGTAAGTGCCAAAGGCTTTTTAATCTATGAGTCACAGGATGATACTTCCAACACAGAGGTGAACAATGAATGTCTACTTCAGGGGCTAAAAGCTAGCTAAAGATAAGGTCTGAGGAGGTCTCCAAATCTACAACATTCCCAACCTCAGTTAGTCCATTTTACAGACAGCTTCTTTTCAAGAATTGTCCTTGACATATTTAACAAAAAGTAAGTGCCACATGTTTTGATGTGTTTTATTAATTGCACATAAAACAATGACACTCAGCATATTAATTAGAACAAGAAAAACAATCCTTTTGTCACTTAGAACGTGACCAAGACAATTTTCAATACAAAAACATCTGGGTTCTATTAACCTATACTCTCTCTCTGAATGTTGTGTGGCAGTTTCTTCAGAAACAAACCTGGAGGGAAGTGCATTAACCTCAGGAAGGAAACAACTTGGAGGCTTCAGGAAGTCTCTGAAACTGAGAGAGACTCTACGCTTCTCCCAGTATACTGGTTATAAAAAAAATGAAGCCTAGAGCAGCACCTGAAAGAGACAGAACAGCCAAGAAGACTCTCAGACAAGTGGAGCTACCCACAAAGGGCACATCAGCCATGCTGCCTGGAAGAAACTACCTAGAAGAAGAGACCAGTCGAACTGCCTAGGAGAAATTGAAAACAAAACAACCTGGGAAATGGCCCTCTCCAATCTCTCCAGCTGCAGTGCTAACTTAACTAAATTAGTGTTAGCTTAGCAACCTATCGAGTCCTCAATGTTTCCAACTCCCCTGAGCTGTAGTGCTTGCCCAAACACATTCGCAGTTGTGCAGCTATCTTTAAAGACACCTCTGCTCCTGTGAGACTACTCACCCTCATTTTTTGGTTTTGTTGTTGTTGTTAGTATGCAAATTTATTTTTAATGTGTAATATATGGAACAATTTTGTGTATAGCAAAGAATTGGTGTTGTGCATGTATGAATTCTCCAATAAAACCATATATGGATATATAGGGGTTTTTAATTTTTTTATTTGTATCCCAGCTATAGCCCCCTGTCTCCTCCCAATCCCACCATCCCTCCCTATCCTCCTCCCATGCCCCTCCCCAGGCCCACTGATAGGAGAGGTCCTCTTCCCCTTCTATCTAACCTTAGCCTATCAGGTCTCATGCAGACTGGCTGCATTTTCTTCCTCTGTGGCCTGGTACCCCCAACCCCTCTGTGCCTGCTCTCCCCCCAGGGGGAAGTGATCAGAGATCCAGCCACTGAGATCATGTCAGAGACAGCCCCTGTTCCCCTTACTAGGGAAAACCCACTTGGACATTGAGCTGCCATGGGCTACATCTAGATTATCACCATGCATAGTCCTTGGTTGGAGTATCAGAATCAGAAAAGAACACTGGGCCCAGATTTTTTGGATCTGTTGCTCTCCTTGTAGAGCTTCGGTCCCCTCCAGGTGTTTCTATCTCCCCCTTCTGTCATAAGATTCCCTGCACTCTTTGCAAAGTTTGGCTTTGAGTCTCAGCATCTGCTTTGATACCCAGCTGGGTAGTCTTTCAGAGGTCCTCTGTGGTAAGATCCTGTCCTGTTTCCTGTTTTCTCCAGCTTCTGATGTTTATGCTGTTTACCCTTCTGAATGAGGATTAAGCATTTTTCCTAGGGTCCTCCTTGCTGTTTAACTTCTTTAGGAGTACATATTTTAGAATGTTTATCCTATATGATATGGCTAATAACCACTTATGAGTGAGTATATACCATGTGTGTCTTTCTGCTTCTGGGTTACCTCACTCAGGATGACCTTTTCTAGTTCCATCCATTTGCCTGCAAAGATCATGATTTCCTTGTTTTTTATTGCTGAGTAGTATTCCATTGTGTAAAAGTACAATTTCTGTATCCATTCCTCAGTTGAGGGACATCTGGGTTGTTACCAGCTTCTGGCTATTACAAATAAAGCTGCTACAAACATGGTTGAGAAAATGTCCTTGTTGTGTACTTGAGCATATTTTGGATATATGCCTAGTAGTGGTATATTGGATCTAGAGGAAGCACTATTCCTAATTGTCTGAGAAAGTGCCAGATTGATTTCCAAAGTGGTTGTACAAGGTTACATTCCCACTAGCAATGGAGGAGGGTTCCCCTTTCTCCACATCCTCTCCAGCATGTATTGTCACTTGAGTTTTTGATCTTAGCCATTCTGATGGGTATATGGTGAAATCTCAGGGTCATTTCAATTTGCATTTCTTTGATGACTAAGGACATTTCTTTAACTGTTTCTCTGCCATTCAATATTCCTCTACTGGGAATTCTCTGTTTAGCTCTGTTCCCCATTTTTAATTGGATTACTTGATTTGTTGTTTTTTTAACTTCTTGAGTTCTTTATATATTCTGGATATTAGCCCTCTGTAAGATATAGGGTTGGTAAAGATCCTTTCCCTGTCTGTAGGCTGTCGTTTTATTCTGATGACAGTGTCTTTTGCTTAACAGAAGCTTTTCAGTTTCATGAGATTCCATTCACTGTTTGTTGACCTTAGATCCTGCGCTGTTGGTGTTCTGTTCAGTAAGTTGTCTCCTGTGACAATGAGTTCAAGGCTCTTCCCCACTTTTTCTTCTAACCGATTTAATGTGTCTGGTTTTATGTTGAGGTCTTTGATCCACTTGGACTTTAGTTTTGTGCAGGGTGATAAGTATGGATCTATTTGCATTTTTCTACATGTAGACATCCAGTTAGATCAGCACCATTTGTTGAAGATGTTATCTTTTTTCCATTGTGTGGTTTGGGCATCTTTCTCAAAAATCAGGTGTCCATAAATGTGTGGGTTTATTTCTGGGTCTTCTATATGATTCCATTGATCCACTATCCAGTATCTATGCCAGTACCATGCAGTTTTTATTACTGCTGCTCTATAGTACAGCTTGAAATCAGGGATGGAGATACCTCCAGAAGAATGTTTATTGTAGAGGATTATTTATAGTGATTCTGGGTTTCTTGTCATTTCATATGAAGTTGAGAACTTTTCTTTCAAGGTCTGTAAAGAATTGTGTTGATAATTTGATGGGAATTACATTGAATCTGTAGATTGCTTTTGGTAAGATAGCCATTTTTACTATGTTAATCCTGCCAAGCCATGAGCATGGGAGATCTTTCCATCTTCTGATATCTTCTTCTAATTCTTTCTTCAGAGACTGGAAATTTTTTTCATACAAGTCTTTGACTTGCTTGGTTAGGTTCACACCAAGGTACTTTATGTCCTTTGTGGCTATTGTGAAGGGTGTTGTTTCCCTAACCTAATTTCTTTCTCGGCCCTTTTGTCTTTTGTATACAGGAGGGCTACTGATTTTTTTTAAGTTAATTTTGTATCCAGCCACTTTGCTGAAGGTGTTAATCAGCTGTAGGAGTTCCCTAGCAGAATTTTTGGGGTCACTCAGGTGTGCTATCATATCATCTGCAAATATTGATACTTTGACTTCTTCCTTTCCAAACTGAATCCCCTTGATATCCTTTAGTTGTCTTATTGCTCTAGCAAGGACTTCAAGTACTATGTTGAAGAGATGTGGAAACAGTGGGCATCCTTGCCTTGCCCCTGATTTCAGTGCGATTGCTTCAATTTTCTCTCCGTTTAGTTTGGTGTTGGCTATAGGCTTGCTGTATATTGCTTTTGCTATGTTTAGGTAAGTGCCTTGAATCACTGATCTCTCCAGGACTTTAAACATGAATGGCTGCAGGATTTTATCAAATGCTTTTTTTGACATCTAAGGAGATTATCATGTGGTTTTTTCCATTCAGTTTGTTTATATGGTGGATTATATTCATGGATTTCCGTATATTGAACCACCCCTGCATGCTCTAAAGCCTGCTTGGTCATAGTGGATGATATCTTTGAGTGTTTTTGGATTCTGTTTGTGAGTATTTTGCTGAATATTTTTGCATCAATGTTCATAAGGGAAGATTGGCCTGAAATTCTCTTTCTTTGTTGGGTCTTTGTGAGGTATAGTTATCAGGGTGACTGTGGCTTCATAGAATGAGTTTGGTAATGTTCCTTCTGTTTCTATGTTGTGGAATAGTTTGAAGAGTATTGGTGTTAGCTCTTCTTCAAAGGTCTTGTAGAATTCTGCACTGAAACCATCTGGCTCTGGGCTTCTTTTGGATAGGAGACTTTTGATGACATCTTATATTTCCTTAGGGGATATATTACTATTAAATTTACTTACCTGTTCTTGATTCAGCTGTGATAAGTGGAATTGGCATTGAAATGGAAATTGTGAAATTGTACATTAAGTTTTATATTTTCAGTACTTAATATATTTGATATATTTATCCACCATCAAAAATAAAAACATGTAGAACAAAATTATAACAAGAAAATTAACTAGCTTTATATCCCTTTTTTACAGCTCATGTCCATCCCTTACAATCTCAGGAAGAAATAAACCACATATTCTCTCATATGTAGAATGTACCTGGTAATGGATGTGTGTGTGTGTGTGTGTGTGTGTGCGTGTGTGTTTGTGTGTGTGTGAGTAAGCAAGTGTACATGTTGGTACAGATAGCATGAAAAGGGAAAAAAAAGCTAACTGTAAGAGGACAATGAATGACTGAATGAACATGATAGGTATACATTCTAATGACATTAGTGTCTCTTCATATAGCTCATCACAATATGATAAATGACGTAACAAAAGAAGTGCAAGCCTCACAGTCTGCAGTGCTGACCTGTCATCAGGTCACCATCCCCACTTAGACCCAGTAAAATATATTTCTTTCAAAATACAGAAAAATCCCCAAGCACCATGGCTGCCCTTTACCCATGCTTGTGTCAGTCACTCACCCCATGCTCCTTAGCAGCTATGACAACTCTCAGGAGGATGTCTTCCTCAACAAAAGGTCTTACAGCATCGTGGATAATCACAACTTCTGGCTTAGTGAGCTTACAATCTGGCTGGTCTTCTGCCAGAGCTTTCAGTCCATTGAAAATTGATCTGTGGCGCGTGGCTCCAGCCTCAGCCAGTGAGATGCGCTTGTGGCCATACCTCTGGAGGATGCTCCTCATTGCTTCCATGTTCTCCCCTGTCACTGTCACAACAATGTCCTTGATCCAGCATACTCTACAAAGAAAGCATGTCTATGTTTAATATAAATGGACTCCAAAGCACATAAAAAACAAAACAAAACTGAATCTCCAGTATAAATAAGTGTCAATTGACCTACATTGGGAAAACAATCCAGAAAGCGTGGTTGTTGTGCATTTTCATTAGGTCTGTCTGGGAATCAGTGAGCATTTCACACTATCAGTAGAGGTGATTTTTCACACTGTATCTTAGATAGGATTATACATAAAGTATGCTAAAATACATACTAGATACATCAGACTTTCACTTCAATTAAATTTGCACAAATAGTACATCTGTACATTTTTTAAGAAAAAAACACCAAAGAATGTGTTTTTTAAACCTGTATTTTTGCTATCATTTTATCCAGAAGTAGGGTAAGAAACTCAAAACATTATCGAGTTTTACAAGCTGACCGCCTCAAGATGTTCCATGAGCTGCAAGTAACCACACAAATATTAAAACTTGGTAGCTGATCTCGCACAGACCTCCCCCAGACTGGGCACAGTCTATACTGACTGACTCTGGAATCAAACACGCTTAGCAGGTTTATGGACACCAGTGCTAGCCAGTAATGACACTAGGGACCTGTATGTTCCCACAGGCTGGAACTAGGACAAATGCCTCTGACCCACAGTGCCAACTCTGAGTAAACATCACTTAAAAGTTTCTAATATTTTAGATGCCAACTACAAAATGCAACTTAAAATATGAGAAAAATGGTATTATGAGCCTATAACTGCTAGAATTATTAAGTCCTGAAAATAAAGCATCAAAATCATAGATAACAAAAAAGCACCTAACATCAATAAAGCATGTCCCATTTTTAACTTGTATGAATCCATATGCAGCTCTACATTGTCTCTGACAGAGGTAGTATTTTTCAGAAGACATTTACATGATAACTTATAGAATATACTTCTCTAATTTATGTAATAGATTCATATAATGCCTTTACTATCTTTCCTACTATAGAATATATACCTTTCTGTATTTCTATGTTATTCAAAATGAATGTAAGATTTTTTAAAAATGCCAGCTTTTCATTGACAGTACAATATTCCTTTTGTTTTGGTTTTGTTTGTTTGCCTCCTTGCTTGTTTTGATTCATCTTTTGGCATATAGGCTCCCTGGCAACACATGTATCTGTCTTGTACATTACTTTACATAAAACTCTTACCAGATGCTCAATAAGTGTTTGTTGAATGAATAAACTGCCCATAGTGTGACACCTTACAACACTTATGGATTGGTTTTCGTGCTTTTTACCTTCGATCCTGAGGCTCCTTAGAGGTACTCAACAACTTTTATATTTTATCAGACATTTCGAGATGACTTCAGTGATGAAAATGCTATACTAACATACACTGCCCGAGAGCACCCTCGAGCCTTTCCAAGTGATGATAACTACAGAATGAGATCACTTGTACACTTTTCTTTGGTTTGCTTGACCCAGCCCCCACACCAATCTCATCCTTGACAAGTCTAGAACTTACCCTCTCCTAGCAGAGTGGGAATTATGCTGCTCACAAAGATTATAGCAGCTGCCAAAGCACCACTCTTCAGTCCCTCCTCAGTGTAGAGTTCTGAAAGGTTCTCACTCAACTACCACAGCCATGACCCATCACTCTTTCCTATAAACACTTATGTCCAATATTTAATGAAGGGGTTCTTACCTGTCTCATCTCATCCCAACAGAATTTATTCTTGCTACTTCTGGATGATCCCTCTCAAGTTCAAACCCTGGGGCCAGGCTACTGACTCTGGCCCACGCCTTTATAGACCTTACTGCCACCTTTCAACCCCATAGTCACACAGACCTCCCCTCTGCCATGACCCTCTTACTTTCATGACTAGCCGCTCCCTGAACAGAAAACAGTGTGCGTCTGAAATGCTCCCACAGGCTTATGTATTTGAACATTTGGTCCCCAGCTGGTAGTGCAAGATATCTAAGATATCATGGAACCTTTAGCACAAGAGGCATCAGTGGGCCATGGGACCTTTGAAGGTTAAAGACAAGCCAGCTTCCAGTCTGCATTCTCTGATTCCTGGTTGGCTCTGCTGACCCTCTTCACTGCCTTCCCCACCTAACAGTCTATATCCTGTGCAAAGTAAAGCTTTTCTCCCTTAATCTAGCCTCTCACAGTGATGAGAAAAATAATAGAGAGGGCAACATATCCTTAATAGCATGTTTCTGCATTGCTCTCTTATTTCACCATCCTGCCCCTCCTTTTCTCCCCATCCTACCAACCCATATCTGAGCCCTAATTGCTCTCCAGTTCCAGACATAGCCCAACCCAGGAACCTCCTTTGACCACAAAGCTGGGTGCAGCCTCCTTTCCTTCCATTGCCAAAGACTCATCTCTCAAAGGTTATCATGTCACGCTGCAGTCCGTAATTTTCTCTCTCCCTCACTAGGCTGCTGGCTCTCAAAACGACAGTATCCCAGAACCTGGCACATATTTTACTTTCAATAATATTAGATATAAAAACAGCTAAAAATATGGGATCTTTGCTAGTGTCTATGGGCTATGTTGAGAATTTTGCATACACTATCTCGACACCCAGCTCTTTGGGATAAATTGCTATGGTCTAGATCTTATGCTCGAGGACACAGATAGTGACCTGTCCATAACCACCCAGCAGAAAATGAAAGGACTGGGATAAATGCAATCTGACTTTGGAGCTCACGCTGTTAACCTACATGAATGTACCAACACAGTCTCAGAGAAAAAGTCTAACATCTAGGAGAGAAAAAGTCATTCTGGACCATTCTGCACCTAATATTTCATTTCTGTTACCAAAACTGAAACATGTGACATTGTTGCTTTGGCAGTAAAAGCTAATTTTCCGTAATTTCTAATAACTCCAACAAAGGAGAGTTTTCCTTCATCCATTATCTTCACTGGGAAGATATGTCAACAAATGTCAAGCAAGCATCTAGCACATACCCTTTCCTATGCCTGGCACTGGAGAGACGATCATGAGCACAGAAGAATGCTATTCCTTCTACCACACACCATGTTAACTGATAACTGAACAAAAACAATGCTTTAATAATTAGGTAAAAATGCTTTTAAGAAATTATTAACCTGGGCATAGTGGTACATGACTTTAGTCCTAGCACTAGGGAGGCAGGGGCAGGCTAATCTACCTGAGTTTGAGGCCAGCTTCGTCTACAAAGAAAAGTTCCAGGAAAGCCAGGGTTACCACAGAGAAACCCTGCCTTGAAAAACTAAACAAAGAAGAAGAGGAGAAGGAGGAAAGGAAGAGAAGGAGGAGAAAGGAATTATTAAAAGCCATCATTAAATGTGTTCATCACTTAATTAGGTCCTGTGTTACCTTCTTTTTAATATAGAGAAATTATAATAAATATTGAGCTAATCAGTGGCAGAATTTTTGTATAAAGCAAGAGATTAACTTGATTCCTAAGCTGTTTACCTTTGTTACTTTCCATTGCACGCTCTTCCAGAGAATTCAGTCAAGATACCTTTTTTGTTTTAATTTTTTATTTTTTATATTAATTAAAGTTTATTTTCTTTGTATCCCAGCTGTAGCTCCCTCCCTCATCCCCTCCCAATCCCATCCTCCTTCCCTCATCTCCTCCCATGCCTCTCTCTAAATCCACTGATAGGGGAGGTCCTCCTCCCCTTCCATCTGACTCTAGCTTATCAGGTCTCACCAGGACTGGCTGCAATGTCCTCCTCTGTGGCCTAGCTACGTTGTTCCTCCCATGGGGGGTGGGGAGGTCAAAGAGACAGCCATTGAGTTCATGTCAGAGACAGTCCCTGTTCCCCTAAGATAACTTTTTAAAGTGTAATGAAAAATTACATTGAACTACAATACAAAAGAATCAAGAAGAGAAATGAAAGGCTAAGCATTAAAATATCTATTCAATGGTTCCTTCTTTTCAAATAAATTAAACTAGGCATAAATAATCATAAACAGCTAGAGCTGTAGCTTTAGACCATCCCCAGGCAATTGCACTAGCTTTATTAAATGTGTGAGTGTTTTGCCTGGATGTATGTATATCCACCAAACATGCAGTCCAGTGAGACCAGAAGGCAGACACAGATGTTTGTGAGCTGCCATGCGGGTACTGGAAACCGAACCTGGGTCTTCTGCAAGAGCAACAAATGTTCTTACCCACTAAGCCATCCTTCTAGCCCCGTTTTATTGAGTTGAATTTATAATGGGTCTGGGTTTGTTTGCTTGTTTGTTTGTTTGTTTGTTTGTTTTGAGAGAAGTGCTGTTGATGAGACAGTATCTAACACAGGTTTCCCTAGAATACACTACATATCCCAAACTAGTCTCAAACTCATGGCAATCCTCCTGCATCTGCCTCCTGACAGACAGATTTAAGATGTTTTAAGCCGTCATTTTTCAAAGTGTGCATTTCTGGAACCAATATACATCATCAGCCCTTCCTATTAAGTTAAATCGACTATTGTTGACTAGGCTAAATAGAAATGAGAATAGAATGCATAGCACAAAATGGCAGGGGGGGGGGAACTCCTCAAAAAAAAAAAAAAAGAGAAAGAAAGAAAAGTTTAGAAGAGGTAGTGGGCTTACTATGCTGTTTTGTTCAGCAACCAAGGATACACCCAGGACCTTCAAGCTTTTGTAAGCACTGTTTGTATTTCAAAGGATTTGTTCACATTCTTTTCAAGTCATAGAATTAAATTTTAATTCTACAGAAGACTTTTAATAATGTAAAATCATGAGACTGTAAAAGACCTTAAGTACCTCACACAGTGCATCCTGAATAAATATTTGGTGAATAGAAGCATCTAACCTACCTCTGAGCTGAAAACAAGTCCACACCAAACCCCCGGCAGCCCAATTCTATCAAACTTGCATGATTATTTCCTTCCTGGCACATTCCATACCAAATATAAACGTAGCCCCAAGCTCTGTAACACCTACAGACATTTTGAGGAGGAAATCTAATATCTCAGAAGTTATTTTCTCCTGGAATAACAAATGTTACAAGCATACTCTGCTCAGACAGTTTAACAAAATCAGTTGAAAACAGAACATTTACACAAATGCTTATATAAAAACCTGTGGGAAATCAAGCCCTGTTAACACCTACAAAACAGGCTCATCCAGGCTGCAGAAACCCAGCCTTAAAGAGACAGTGGCAGTTGCAGCGCTCTCATGTGCCTGCCTTCCTGGAACCTTGACTCTAAACTGCCTTGTAGCCTTGTCTACAGAGTCCTACCTCCTTGTGCCCATTTTGAGGTTTTAGGGTAAAATGTTGAGCTAGTGAGGTGGGCAGGTTGCTAATCCCTTAGCAAAGGCAAGTCTGTAGACTGTGGCGCAGATATGTAGCCTCGGAGCCAATGGTCTTCCCTGATTTTAAAGGTCTCAACAGGAACACAACACAGAGCTCTCATCCTGTAACCTGTATCAAACAGGTGTCAAAACACAAAGCTTTTATTTTCCCTTTCACTCAGCCGTGATCTTAATTAATCAAATTAACCTATCTTACCATTCAACTGGAAACGTCCTATGCACTTTTCTCTCTCTGAATCTCAAATCAGTGGACTCAATACTACCTCTTAACCATTTCTCCCATCGTCCCTTTTCCTTTCTTACTATCTCAGTCTAACTCACGTGATCAATGTTGCTCATTTAGAGAAAAGTTCATGTAATTCTCATCTATCCGGCTAACAGAATTTGCAATTGTTTAAACTATTGTACAGTGGAACGGTTGTTTAAAGTACATGAGAAGATAAGACTTAAAAAAAAGAGAAAATAGGCAGTTAAATAAACTGTACATTAATACACTGAAAGCCATACCTTGGGGTCTTAGTAAAAATAATAATAATAATAATAACAACTACAGCCTGGCTCATCCTTGATCTCCAAGCAGGAAGACAGGCCACAGGTGAAGCCTAATCACAGGTTTGCATTTCTGTTACACACACATAACTGATCTACAGAGTGTGCCTGTCTAACCCACTAACCCACTAACCCACTAACCCACTAACCCACCAACCACAGAGAATGAGCACAGGGGACTGTTGCTAGCTAGTGCATTGCTCTGCAGGACCATCATCCTGTAAACTGATATCAGAAGCCGATTTATAATGTTTTGATAAGCATGGACAATATCAAGAAGCAAGGTCTTCTACCCAAGAGAGCTCAAGAATCCTCAATAGCTTTAGGGGAACTGAGGTCAAAGCAGACAGCCTGACAGAGGAACACCAGCGCCAGACATCTAAATAAGCATGGCTGATAGTCGCTTCACTTGTTCGCTCTTGTGTCATCATAATCTTGCCATTTTTTTAAAAGACATTCCATGGTAACCAACACTTCTATTTAACATTTTCTTTCCTTAAGTACTTAAAACCAGAAATCAGATTACCGGTAAGAATTTTTATTTTTATGGTTCCCTAGTCACCAACCCCACATTTTATATCCTAACAACAGTAACAAAACACACACACTCTCTCTCTCTCTCACACACACACACACACACAACAAACAAACAAAAACAGTGCCTTGACACCTCTTTGATGCAGCCAACTGCAGGTTTTTTTCCCAGCAGACCTCAGTCCCAGCCAAGATCTTAAACATTCCCAGGTACTGAAGAAGCTGTTACCCAGCAGAGTTTAAAAACAAAAACAAACAAACAAGCTCCAGCCCTGACCTAAAGTTCATAAAACTGCCAACTCCATCCTATAAACGCCTCATGTAAGACATACCTAAAAAGAGCATTATCCTGCCTGTCTTCTGTCAGGAAAATGAGCAGCAGAGTTCTGTATGCCCCTCAGATAAATGGTATGACTCCTCACTGTGGTAACTGCTATTTCTTTCTGTGGAATTTCAACCGTACCCATTCCAACAGGGTTAGGGTCACTCCATTGTGGGAACTAGTCTACTGTAACTTTTGTGGTCCCAGTCAATGACTGTAAGAGAGAAAACAATTTCCAACTTCAGATCCAGGAAGAAGATTTTTGTAAACAGTAAAACTTGAGTACATAAGTTATTCAGCTGAACTGGGCCTTCTTACCAAGTTTTATGCCCTAGATGATAAAGCCTTTGTCACATGGTTCCCTGAAACACAATTTCTTCATTGAAGGTTATGTCATGAAGTAATAGTTACATGAGGGAATAAGACTCCTGATCTCAGTTCCTTGTTAATCAAACAATTTTTTTTTAAGTTAGCAATGTTTCCTGAGTTATAACCTGTTATAATTTATTCCAATTTCCCTAGTAGGCTATAAAAAGTTTAAACTGCTGTAATAAAAAATGAAAAAAAAAAGTTTTCTTTTGCCGTATTTTCCATAAACCCTTTCCAAACATTCTTAGAAATTAAGTTACCTCACTCGGGCTACCTCGGGCTACCTCATTCGGTACATGCAAAAAAACAAAAAAAGGCAAATTATTAGAAAGCATTTCCCAAGGGAAGAGATGTTAAGTGCGGAAAAAAAGGTCTACCAGTCCCTCCATGTAACTATCAAGCTAAGATCCGCTGCCAGTGTCCATTCCATCAGCACAGATGAGGGGCGTTGCCAGGATGTCTGTTGAATGGCTCTACATAGCAATCCCCATGCTAGCCAGAGAAATAAAAGGCAGACTGGGTGACAACCGGAACTGTTCCCAGGTCTACAGTTTCAGATGTAACCCCTGGCCTTGATTATTTTAATCATGGACGATTACGACCTTTTACACTTCCACTTCACCAGATGCCAATACCCAGAAAGTAAAATAATATTACGCCATTAGACCCTTTGACTTTTTGAAGTGTGTTGGGACAGGAGAGGGGAATGCTCCTCCTCGGAACAAAATGCCACCGGGCAACGGTCTCTCTGGAAGCCTCCGGTAAAGGTTACTTATGTTAAATATTGAAATCTAACTTTAAATGGAACCAGTCTGCTTCCGGTTTTAGGCATCTCCACAGCTGTGCATTTGACTTCAAACAAGTAACAACCTCGCAGGACCGGAAGACCTTTATAATCCTGTGGACTTCTACCCTCAGCCCCATCCCATCTCAGAACAGAAACCAGTTCCCTTCTGGCCATCGCACTGCCTCTCCGCGGCCTTCCTGACACTGCTCAGTTTCTGGAACTAACTTCGCCCTCTTTTCTAGCGTGTCTTGGCCTCAATCTCACTCTCCAATCCCTCCCAGCTACCGAAAGGCTGGAATTAAGCCTGGCCTTCTCCCTACCGCCTGGTATATAGCCAGGCCTGGCTCCCAGGAGGAAGCGTGCCTGCCCGGTAGTCTGGAGGTGCGGCTACTCCACTCGGGCGCACGCATGCGCGGTGGCACTGTGCGCTGGGCCGCTCGGCGGCAGCTCTCCGGCCCCCAGGGGCGAGCGCAGGAACCGAAAGTGCCCTGGTCCCCAGACACTGGTTCGTCGGTGCCCCGAGCCGGGCCCTCCCCGCCACGCTGTCCGCTGGGATGAGCCTGCGCTCCGGGGAGCCGGTGGCCGGCGTCAGTTACCTCTCCAGGGCCTGCAGGGTGTAGCTGATGAGCGGCCTCTCCAGAAGCCGGCAGAACTGCTTCGGGGTGCGGACGCCCATCCTCTCCCCGCAGCCCCCGGCCGGCAGCACGGCGGCCACGGTTCCAGGGAGGCCCCCGGGCTGCGCCCCGGCGCCAGACGGCAGGTCCACCGGGAACGCCGAGCCGTCGCCCGGCGGGCCGCTCACGCAACGCCCAGGCTCAGCGGGCCTGCTGTGGAGCCCGGGCTCCATGGCTCCACGCGATCGCAGAAGCCCGGGGTGCGCACGGCAACCGGGAGCGAAGCGCCAGCACTGGCTCGGAGCCGCGATCACCGGTCGGGGTGGGCGAGGAGCGGCGGGCGCCGAGAGGGCTCCGGGAACGTGGCCCCCGGTGCTGATCCCGGCCGGAGCAGCCGAGCCTGTCTTCTCAGCCCGGGCCCAGCGCCCCCGGGGCAGCGCTCTTCCTGCTCTTCCTTCTCTCCCTGCAGGCAGGCCTGGTCCGGCTGAGGCTGCTGTGGCAGTCCTCACGCACTTGAGAGTCACTCGCAGACAGCTGTGCACGACACTGTCACGTTCCCCATTCTAGATAAGTGGGAAAGACTTGTATTCAATGTACAGTTCAAGACCCAGATGTGACCACCTTGGTTATACGAATTTCGTGATCCTCAGAGGCGCCCTGATCTTAGCAAGCAGAAAGGTGAAAGGCTAGGAAAATTCTAGAATCCAGGCTGCAAGGTTGGTTCCCAGACTTGCCGGCGCGTTGGAACCACCAAGCAGAGCATCCCTGAACCATGTGTTCCACACTCAAATTCTAGGATTTGATTGGTCTCGGGTGCAGCCAGGGCTGTGGGATTTTCAAAGTTCCACCGGTGATTATGTTGAGCAAATCTGTTTTGTGGTAAGACAGAAATCACACCAATTGGTGAATAATCAGCACACATCTCACCGTAGCAGGAAAACCCCTGGTGTGCATTGTCACTGGCAGGGGGAAACAGGAATAGTTAAGTGACTGGTGTAAGACTATGGCCAGGCAGTCATAAATCCTTGGTTTAGAGGTACAACCAGCATTGAGAAATTTCAGGCCTGGTGGGCATCTTGCCCTCATTTAGTACTGTCCTGGGAGCTGTTGATGAAATATAATGGGTATTCAGAGTGCCAAGCGCATTGTATTCAGGATCTGGAATGTAAAAGTCATGAGAGCATGGCCTAGCTTTGCTCCTCATTTGGGTTGTTTGCCCAGCTTCAGGAATGTGACAGGAGCCTAATACTTACTGAAGGAATTGCCGATTAAATAATGACAAAGTATAAGGAGTTATTTGGCCATGTATATTATCAGTCCTCACCCACCAATAGCTAAATTAGATTCATTCAAAAAAAATTTTTTTGAGCATTGAAATTACCCAGTTACAATATTAAACCTCATTATTTTTATCCATTTTGCCAATTGAAAGCATACAAAAATAAAATATTCTCTGCCCTTTTGTCTAATATTCTAAAGCACTCTCTTTTGTTGCTTTCATTATGAGTAATGGACAGCTTCTGTGCTAGCTGAAGTTTGTCGAACTTTTGACCCTTAGGATGAAAAGAAAGCATTGTAGCATACTTGTATTGCAATGCTTGGATTTTTTTTTTTTTTTTTTTTTTTCGGGAGACGGGTTGGGGAGGGAAGGAGGGAGAGACTGAGGGACAGAAGGGCGCTGTAGTGGGGGCAGAGATTCTGGAAGAGCTTTTTGCTAGGGAGTTAGGTGTTTGGATGTGTTAGACCTTGCTCAAAAGGGGACAACCAGAGAAGGCGCCATCACATCTTCTAGTCAGAAGGATTATGCTACTTACAGATGCTTGACAAAAGAGATGAGCCCACGAAGCCCATAGCATGTCCAGAGACAGCAGTGCACTCAACAGGCAGAAAAGACTAGGGAAACTAGGCCTCCATAGAACCCATGGCTTTTGCTCTTCCCAAAGTGGTTGCTGCTTGGGTTTTCTTTGAAGAGTTGTGTAAAGGGGTATATTATTTCTGAGTCTGCAGTGTTAACAATTAAGTTTTACTATGCTAGGATATGTTAGGTTTAGGGTTTTTGGTTGTAGTGGAAGCCACCTGAAGAATGGAACTTTTACAATAACAACAAAAATGCTGGCAAAAATGCAGGCAAAAGAAGTCTGGTCTGCTCATGGTGGAAATTTAAAATGGCTCAATCGGCCTGTTTTATTAGGGTTCTATTGCTACAAAAACAAAAAGACATCGTAACCACAGCAACTCTTATATAGGAAAGCATGTAATTGGGGCTGGCTTACAGGTTCAGAGGTTCAGTCCATTATCATCATGGCAGCATGCAGGCAGACATGGTGCTGGAGGAGCTGAGAGTTCTACATCTTGATCCAAAGGCAGAAGTAAAGACTGTTTAGCACACTGGGCGTATCTTGGGCATATGAGACCTCATATGTGACACTCATCCTCCAGCAGGGCCACACCTACTGCAATGAGACCACACCTCCCAATAGTGCTACTCCCTATGGGCCAAGCATTCAAACCAATGAGTCTATGGGGGCCATTCCTGTTCAAACCATGACAAGGACTCAGGGTAGAAGTTCCTCAAAAATTAAAAAGTGAACTAACATATGACCAAGTTGATTATTTCTGGGCATACCTGAGGAAATGAATTCACATTACAATAGAGAAAAGCAAGGTAATATTCACAATTTTATACACACAGAATTGGCCTAGCCGTCCAAGAGAAGAATGAAATATATACATACATACATACATACATACATACATATATATATATATATATATATATATATATATATATATATATATATATGGTACATCCATAATGGAATATTTGGCCATGAAGAAGAAGGAAATCCTATCATGGCATTTTCACAGAGTAGTTAGAATTGGGGACTGTCATGTCAAGTATCATGTTTTCTCTCACATGTGGGAGAAAGTTAACGTGGACCAAGAGAAAAGAGTTCTATGTGGAGCAAAGGAAGATGAGGTAACAGAGAGGGTGGATGTGATTAAACAGTCATCCATTCCAAAATGAAAACCTCACAGAGAAACCTGTTCATTTCTATAATTAAAAAATAGTTTGCTTTATCAATTTCTATAGGATCATTTTCTGTGATTAAAAAAATGACAAATTATAGTGAGAATCTTACAGCATTGGTTAAGATTTGTTCTTAGAGAAAATACAGTTAAGTTTTGAACTGGTAACTAATAATTCCTAGATCTTAGATGCTGTGTATGAACAAAATATGACACATTAATTGGTTGTGAACCAGAGAACAAACTACACTCTTTATACATATATGAGAAAAGCAGTATTTTTAGTGGGTTTTTTTTAAGATTTATTTATTTATGTATGTGAATGCTGTATTTGCATGTATGCCTGCATAACAGAAGAGGATATTGGACCCCATTATAGATGGCTGTGAGCTACCATGTGGTTACTGGAGATTGAACTCAGGTCATCTGGAAGAGCAGCCAGTTTTCTTAACCACTGAGACATCTCTCCAGCTCTAGAAGCAGTATCTTATGCATACTGTATATAAATACTAGATTCTATTCAATCATACTCACAGTAATAGAATAAATTCCTTGTCGTGTCTTAGGATTTTTATTGCTGTGAAGAGATACCATGACCACAGCAATTCTTATAAAGGAAAACCTTTAATTGAGGCTGGCTTACAGTTTCAGAGGATTAGTCCATTATCATCATGGCAAAAAAAAAAAAAAAAAAAAAAAAACATGGTGGCTCTCAGACAGACATGGTGCTGGAGAAGGAGCTGAAAGTTCTACATCTTGATCTGCAGGCAGCAGTGAAAAGAATGCCACACTAGGCATAGCTTGATCATATGAGACCTCAAAACCTGCCACCACAGTGGCACACTTCCTCCAGCAAGGACACACCTACTACAACAGGGCCACACCTCCTAATAGTGCCACTCCCTATGGGTCAAGCATTCAAACACAGGAGTCTATGGGGGCCATTCCTGTTCAAACCACCACAGCACCTGACCACCATGTGAGATATCAAGGGGTTGGGGAGATAGCTTGTTGAGGAAGAGCACACACTGAGCAAATTCTAACCCTCAGCACCCATGAAAAAACACTGATAACTGCTACCCCTAAGAGGGATTTCAGGAGTGGCTGCTGTGTTGCATGTGCCTCAGTAGGTGGCAGAGAGGACAGAGCCTATGTCTACACTCAGTATTCTGACCTGGAAACATCTGAGTGTTAGAACCTTAATATTCCCTTTAAAAAACAAGCCTGATACAACTACCTGAAAATGCCAAAAGGGACTGGGGAGAGGGGTCATACCATGCCAGAGATGACCCCTGCTTGGTGCTGCAATGTATGACCCAGGCATCATCACTAAGAAGAGCAAGTAAGTAGTGGAGAAATGGAAGAGAAAGAAACAGAAGGATGTGGGCACAATGAAGAGAGACGGAACTGGAGACTCGAGGGTAGTGAGGCACAGTCTGGTGTGAGTAGCCTGGGATGCCACCTAGAACAATACAGAGGTCTTAGCTTGTGCCGTCACTCAGGGCCAGGTCTGGGTCTACAGTCCTCCAGCATTGGGGGCCAAGGTTAGCACCAAAGGCCAAGTGGACATCACTGGTCCGGGCTGCCACCCAGGGACATGTTGAGGTCTGAGGGCTGTGTGGAATTGCCCCCCCTCACGTGGGCATTGTGGGAGATCTGGCCATGGGGCATGAAAGCAGGAGAGCTGGTCTTTCTCCTCACCCACTGCAGCACCTGATGAGCAGGCCTTGCACCTCACTATGGCAGCATAGAAGATCTGGCCCTAGATATGGGGTTTGTATGTGAGCCAACCTGAAAGGCATGAGCATGGGAGAGCTGGTTCTGCCTCTTGTCTGCTGTCTAGTGGGGTCAGTGAGAGATCCTATTCCTTTCTTTTTGCCCAGGACATCTTCTGCAGGTGGGCAACAGGCCTCCTATGGAGTCATGAGAGCAGGAGAGCTGGCCCTGTCCCTCACCTGCTGCAGCACTAAGAAGAGCAGACCCTGCATATGACCTGGGCAACACAGTTGAGGTGACCTGGACTTGGGGGTTGCAAGCAAGTCAGTCTTAAGGCATGAGCACAGTAGAGCTGACCCTGACTCTTGTCTGTGAGGTGGCATGGACCAGGGAGACATCCCCAGTCCCTCATCCCTCACTACCTATAGCAGGCTGGAGAGATGGTGCCAGGGGGGTTATGAGAGGAGGAGAACTGGTCACATTCCTCTCCGGCTGTAACACTTGGGAGAACAAGCCCAGCACCTCTACTGAGCAGCAGAGTAGAGCTAGCCCTGGTTGTGTGATTGCTGGTGAACAGGCCTGGAGGTGAGAGAGTGGGAGAGCAGGCAGGCTAAACAGCTCATGTAACTCTCAGGCCCATTTCCAGGGCTTTGATTTGGCCCACTCCAACATCTAACCCATCGATGAACTGCTGGAGTGCATGAAGGGACTGATTCTACAGATCTAAAAGTACAGCATCTCCATGACACAGGGCAACAACAGGATATCTGAGAGGAGGCCCAGTGAGGTCATAGTATTGCTAGAGTAACAGAAACCAGACACCTTGTACATTGCAGTGAATATTTGCAACCAAAGAAGTGTGGACAGAAGTCTATAGTGTGGCCCATAACAGCTTCCACAATGAGTTTTTTTTTTTTAACTTTGTTGTAGGGGAGGTTGAAAGGATGGAGGGCAGGTATGAAGGCAGGAAGAAATGGGTGTGATTGTGGTGAGTGATGTGAAACTCACAAAGAACCAATAACAAGTGTTTTGAAAAGACATATAACCTAAGTTTGGAAGGGTGGAGTCATGCAGATGCCAGAATCTCACTCGTCAGCCAACCTAGACAAAAGAGTGAGCTGCAAGGTCAGTTAGAGGACCCACCTGTTTCACGGCAGTAAGGCAAAGCACAATGGAGGAGAAAATAGAGGAAGACTTGGTATCTGCCTCCGGCCTCCTTGTATTCATACATGTGCACTTAACCTGTACTCTGACATACATTCACCTCACACTCTCACATGCACCATGGAATAAGTGCAAGACAGAATACTGGGAATGGAAAACAAGACAGGCATGTTTAGACACTGACAAAGACAAAAGGAAGAAAGTCTGAACACCATTAACATATGAAGTTTATAAATCAAGAGGGCTAAAGACATAAATAATGTATTCAATAAAACTGTCTTAGAAAATATTCCAAATTTAGAGAGAGAAATGAGCATGCATATATTGGAGGCATTTGTTACAGAGCACTGATCAGACAAGGGAAAAATCTCCATGTTAATTACCAAACTAAACAGAGAAAACACAGCTGCAAGCAACACGCCACATGTAAAAAGAAAACCTGTCAGAATTACAGACAATTTTTCAACAGAAACTCCAAATGCGAGGAGTACATGGATGATGCATTAGTGCTTCTCACATCTCTCATCAGTCAAGACAGTTCCTTACAGACCAATCTGGCAAGGCAATCCTTCTGCTGAGAATGGTGAATTGCTCCAAAGGTTGTAGCAAGCTGAAAATAAAAACTAACCAAGCTCCAAAAGACAATAATTGTCAACCTAGATTACTGTTAACCAGCAAACTAGCTGGTTTTTCATAATTAAAGAAGAAAGGAAATTTTTCCATAATAACAATAAACATAAGGAACCCATTGCCATTAAAGCAGCCCTGCAAAAGATACTTGAAAAGGGGCTGAGGAGATGGTACAGTTCTGTATACCAGTACTAAGGTGGAAGAGGATGAGAAACAGGCAGGTCCCTAGAATTTCCTGGCCTGACAGTCTAGGCAAATCTGTGGGCTCCAGATTTCATAAAATATCATTGCTTAAAAATGACATAGAGAGCGACAGAGAAAGACACCTGATATCAGAGCCTCTAACCTCCAGAGGCATGCACACACACACACACACTCACACACACACACACACACACACACACACACACACACACACACCGTAGCTACAGAGGTATACACACATACAAAAGAAATACTCAAAGGAATCCTGTAGGTTGAGAATAAAGATGAACACTCCCACGGCAATATACAAAAGAATAATGGATTTAAAAGAGAGAGAGAGAAGCACAACCAGTAAAATAATATAAATTAGCACACATCTTTCAATAGTAACTGCATAGTAATGATCAATCAGAAAACAGACTAGCAGACTTGACTAAACTGAAATTAAAAGTAAAAAGAAAAACATGATCTAACTAATTGTTGGCTCTGAGACACACCTTGCCATTAAAAACAAATACGACCTTATTGGGAGAAGATGAAAAAAGTTATTCCAAGGAAACAGAAATAGAAGTCAAGCAGGGGTGACTGTTATTTATGATAAAACAGACTCCAAATCAAAACTAATCAAAGCAGTTTTTTTTTTTAAGGTTACTTTATAATGGATGGTTTATACCATTCATGAAGAGTACATTTTTTTAAAAATTCCCTCAGTTCTATACAGCAATTTGAATTTAAAGAAACACTTTAATTTAATAATAATAGATGATTTCAATACCCCACTCACTATCAGATCACCCAGTAAAAAGCAAAAACGTTGGCGTTAAATGACATCATAGATCAAATGGACTTACCCGACATCTACAGAATGTTCCATCCAAAAACTGTAAAATACACATTGTTCTGAAACAACCCAGGGGATATCCTCTGAAATAGGCCATTTATTAGGGTACAAAAAAAGTTTTAATAAATTCAAAAAAAATTAAACCATTTCTTGTCTTTATCTGGTCACAATGGGATGAAACTAGAAATCTTCACCAACACAAACTGTAGAATATACAAAAGCTCAAGGAGACTTAGTGATTAATGATTCAGCAAAGAAACAGACATTATAAAGATTCTCAGAATGTAATGAAAGAGAAAACACAAGGTCAGTGTTACGAGGTACAGAGAAAGCAGTCTGTCCTAATTAGGATGATTGCTGTGATAAAACTCCATGAGCAAAAGTATGTTGGGGAGCAAAGTGTTTGTTTTATGCTTGCTTCCCCATCACTGTTCATCAAGGATGGAAGTCAGGACAAGAACTCAAACAGAACACAAACCTGGATGCAGAGGCCGTGTAGAGGTGCTGCTTGCTGGCTTGCTCCACAAGTCTTGCTCAGCTTGCTTTCTAATAGAGCCCAGGAACACCTAACTAGGGGTGGTGCCATCCACAACAGTTTGAGCACTCCCACATAAATCACTCAGAAAATGCCCTACAGGCCTGCCTATAGCCAGATTTTCTGGAGGGATTTCTCAATTGAGGCTCCTTCCACTTCACTGACTCTAGCTACTTGACATAAAACGAGCCAGTACACTGCCCTATGAGGAAAGCTACAGGTGTCTACATCTAAAAAAATCAAATCTCATACATAACAAGTCCAAAATCAGTATATAAAAAGAAATAAAGATTAGGGCAATAATTAATTTAAAGGAAACAAAGAGCATGTATGAATAATCAATGAAACACAGAGTTGTTTTTTTTTTAAAGTTAAACAAACTTGTCAAAGTAATGAAAAGAAATAGAGAGAAGGTCCAAATTAATAAAGATAGAAATGAAAAAGGAAATATTGCAATAGATACCAATAAAATTTAGAAAGTTGTTTAGACATCTCTTAAAATTTTATTTTTCAGTAAATAAGAAAACCTGAAATAAATGAAAGATTTCTGAGGTGCATGTGGCCTAATAAAATTAATCCAGAATGAGATAAATAATTCAAACAAATCAATATTGAGCTATGAGACTGAAACAATACTTTAAAAAAAAAATTCCCCACCCAGCCAAACCCAGATGGATTTCTTGCTGTATTCTACAGAATTTTTTAAAACTAACAACAAAAATCATCATGGAGTTCTGTAGAAAGAAATGCTCCCAACTTTTTCTTGTTTGTTTCTTACTTTCTTTCTCTTTCTTTTTCTTTTCTTAACAAAGCCATTATTACCAATAGTACAAAAACTGGGTAACGATACAATAAAAAGTAGAAAATTAACGGTCCAGATAAGCATGGATTCAAAGAATTTACACATAAAAAGGGACGTTCATCATGATAAAGATAGCTTCATTCTAATGGCACATGATGGCGAGGACTTGAAGAAAGGGGAACCCTCCTCCATTGCTGGTGGGAATGTAACCTTGTACAACCACTTTGGAAATCAATGTGGCACTTTCTCAGACAATTAAGAATAGTGCTACCTCAAAACCCAGCTATACCACTCCTAGGCATATATCCAAAATA